ATAAGAAATTAGCGAAAAAGTAAAGTAAATTTATAAGTGGAGAAACTAGTCAAAAATAGAATCCCAGGTTCTCCACTCTGTAAGAAAATGGCCTAATTGAAGATTTTTTTGAGAAACATATTTTTCTAATTCGAATTTTGATTTGATATATAAGAGAAGGGAAGGGAAGGTCGGCTGCATTTTTCTTTTAAAACAGGTATATATATAAAATTTGGAGACAAGAATAATGTAATTTAGAGGCTTGAAATTTGTTTTGGATACTCCAAAAAGTATATTTTCATCATAGAGTGTAATTCTTTCATCTGTTTTGTTAGCAATCGAGCGTTCCATTTCAGTCCAAATGTTTCTTATTCGATAGCAATTTAAAAATACATGTCGCAAATCTTCCCTCTCCGCTCCACAGATAAAGCATTTCTCTGACACCTCAATACAGATTCTTTTCAGGTATGACCTAACTGGTAAGATTCTAAAAATTATTCTGTATTGGAACCACTGAAGTTTTGTTTCTCGTGTAACATACAAACAATTCTCGTAAACATACTTCCAAGTGATATTTATATTTAGATCTAGGTTCCATTTCCTTTCGTGTACCAAGTTTTCAGGAGTTTCACTCATGAGAACCTGATAGAAATCTTTACACCCATTTCGACTCTTTATAAGTAGCTGAACCGGCTGAGGAACATAAGGAAATAAAATTTCTTCATTGTTCTTTTCTTTTAGCCTACATTTTAAACTGTTACGTATTCCAAAATATTTTAGATCACATACTCTTTGAAATCCAAATTTCCTTTCCAGTTCAGCTTTGGTTAAAAATTTTCCTTCGTTGAAAAGATCCCCAATTATTCTTATACCCTTATTGTACCATTTTTTGTCCAATATTGATTGACAGAAGTTTTTCATCCATTCCCCCCACGTCTTGTTTTGTCACGTGTCAACAGTGTCCACCAGGGCACTGCAGCTGCTTGCATTACTTGTGCACCACAAGAGAATTTCAGTATTCCACAGGTGGACTTATAAGGTTTGCTATTCCAAAAAACGCAAAGATTTAATAACTTCAAGGAAAATACACTTTATTTAATGTAAAATTAAAATTATCAAGAGATTGCTGATTAGTAAATTACGTAATGCAGGCCTCGAAATTTGCAGTAGCAATGGTAACAAATGTGAAACAGGGGCAAAATGCTGCTAATGGCTATTAATTCCTGCTTTTTATCTGTACAATTGACTGTTTTACTGCCTTGTTTCTACAAAGGTCCATTTTCATCTCTTATTAATAATGGGCATTGCTGAGAAGTTGGATTTAGCTTTGTTTTTAAAAAGAAAAAAGTATCTTTTGAAAAAAAGAGGTCCACACAACTGATAAAAATTCAGTACCATAGAATCTGATTTCCAGTGCTTTTTATTGCAACCTGTGTGGAAAAAACCAAGCATGATCCTAGAAAAAAAAGTGATTCACACCTGGATAACATACCTGTTTTTAAATACATAATAAATAAAAAGACAAGAAAAAAAGCAATTCATAGTGGTTTCTAAAAATTTTCTGCTTACCACTTATTTTTAATATAGATGTTTACCTTAAAATAGCACTCATATACATGTGCACTCAAAAAGACTTATCAAGGGCAGATCCAGAGATATTGTCTGACAGTCTTCCAAATTATCTTTGTTGATCCATCCTCCATTTTTGACCGTCTTCTGAAAGACCCAGAAGACAGCTTCCATCTGCCCTTGCTGATAAAGTTTCTTGTTATCTAAAACATAGATATGCAAGTTTTTCATTTTAAATGTGTTCCTGCACCACAAACAAAGCAGACTGAAAAACCAGGTATTACATAAATATATATTTAATTTTTATAATGGATATTCACACTCAAAAATTGACAGGAAGAAGGTAAAATATACTAGCAGAGACATTTTATTATACAAATTCAAGGCATACAATAGCACCACATTTTCTGGCCCTTTATAAAGGCAATTCCATGACAAATTTGTGGAAAGGTCACTTCATACATTTTGGAATTTTCAATCTACTGAGTATCATGATTGTGGGCAAGATCAAGCTAATGCTTCCCATACTAGTACAGAGAGCATGAACAGCTATCAAACAACCAACTGATGCCTGTATATATGGTACAAGTATGTTTTCTTTGATTCCCTCTGCATGTAAAGTATTTTATGTGTATATGTGATAAACAATAAATAAAGGCTTATCTATTGTAAAATATAGATACCTTAAAGTCAGAATCCTATAACGTAAATTCAATCACCATTGTGCAGATGCATTAGAGATCGTGTTCATTATGCTTAATTACCACTCTTTATCCATGATCTGGTTTTGAAAGTTTTGTGTAAGCTCAGGCTGTAAATTTACACATAAGCTTTAATATTTACCTAATGTAGATAACATACAGAACTTGTGGACCTTAGGGTTACATGCCCCCAACATACTTTCAGTTTCTCTGTGCCTTTTTCCCCACCAACCAACAAAATCCTTGCCAATGGATATATATCCCACTGATAAGTAAACATACTTCCTTTCTAGTGATAGAGCACATAAAAACAGCTTTTCCAAACATATCAGATAATGTATGCTTATTATGGAGTGTCTAATGTCCTTGACATATTAATGGCAACATCTTTGGGCCCATTTCAAGGAGCTTTGCCCACTGAACAACAATATTCTCAGGTAAATGGACAGTTACGTATGTGTTCCCAGAGACAGATATGGTTTTAGGTAAACCAGAAGGCCATGCAATATCCCCAAGTCAAGAGTGCAATCAATACCTAAACACTAGTGGAGATGCAAGGTAAAAGCCTGAAGGCTAGATCTATGTTCTACATTTCACTTCAACTAGTAACAAGTCTTGTAAATGCTTCCTGGGTCTTCATTACTGAATCAAAAATACTTAAACATACTACCTAAGGCTATTTTTGTTAACACAGCAAAACACTTACCCAGTGAGCACTGCATAACTGGACTTGATTACAGCAATCCTGTTCCTTTACCCATGCTACGAGTAACATGTTAAATTATTGCCCTCAGTTTAACTCGTTTACATGTGGAGACTTAGTTCTTTCTATAATAAAGGTAAAGAACAATACATATTTTTCCAATACGTAGCCAAAACCACATTTTTAAAAAGGTAATGGGTCAAAAATGAAAATCATGCTTTTGTGGATCCAGAAAAGTGGCAACAGCATGTAGAGAAAGAAAATGGCACTTTTAATCTCTTTTCTTTTCCCATGATCTTCCCTTGCAGTAGTAGTAGAACCAGAGCATGAAAAGCACGCCTGCCAGCATACACACCGTCATTACCACGTTAAAGCTGGGTTCCCTGATGTGTGTCTGGAAGATCAAGGATGACATAAATCTTAAAAATAAATAAACATTATATTATTTTCATCAAATAACCTGTTGTGTGCTTAAACAAATTTATTAAATATTTCGTACTTTTAAAAATCCTTTTGAAGAAATAAAATTTTTGTGAAAATATGCAAGCAGAGATTGTGCATAAGTTACAAAATTGTTCCTGAACTATAATCTTTTTAATAAATGTTGTGTAAAGCAAACAATCTCTACACCTCCATGATTGTATACAGCTGAGAGAGAGAGAGAGAGAGAGAGAGAGAGAGAGAGAGAGAGAGAGAGAGAGAGAGATGTAAAATATAAATAAATTATTCCATTTACCTTTAATTTTTCAACAATAAAACTGACTAACTCCTCACTGAAAAAAGTCCAAATGGAGATATGTATATAGAATTAAATATTTCCAATACAAAAGGAAATATATTCAACCTAATTTAATTGCAATATAATTTAAGATAAGATTCCTTTATTTCAAAATCATAATACAACAGTTCTCGAAAAGGCCGAGTCAGACTTAATAAAAGCTATTTCAGACGTAAATTCTTTCTACTTACAAAGGTGAGGGAGGAGGAAGCACAACTTCTCCTTTAACATTTTTATACCAGCCCTCAGCAAAGGCCTGTAGGGAAGCAAGGTCTTTTTGAGGAACAATATACCTGTACATCTTCCCTAAATGGAAACTGAAACCAGGAAGTAAATATGACATTATTAAAACACCGTTAGTGATAACACATAAGGTGCATGAACTTATTTAAAGTGAGGGAACACAGGACATTTACAAAAGTTTTATTTACATAAAAACCTTTTTATTGAAAAAATACCAAATATATGATTTAATAATTGTTATTGTGGACACNTGGATCAACAAAGATAATTTGGAAGACTGTCAGAAAAAAGCTCTGGATCTGCCCCTGATTAATTCAATCACTGTTTTTTTTTTTCTTTTTTTTACATGCAGCTCAGATAAGCAGATATATATAAAGTAGGTTTCAAGATTTATCTTTTTGTAATCATCATTTTGTAACATTTTGCAAACCAAAGGGATTTTTAGCACAGGTTCTAACTCCTTTTTGGTCGTAATGTTTATCTTGTTCGCTTACAAGAAATACATCACACATGATACTAGTAAGGTACTTGATTATCAGAATAAATACAGGACTGTTTTTACTTACAAACTAACAAACCAGTCTCCAGTTGTGGCCCCAGTGGCAGCCTGGGTCAAGTGCTCAAAGTCTTCATCTGTCAGTTCTCTGGTGACCACCTCCACGTTTCTCTCCAGCCAGGGAAACACGTCCTCAGCCATTACTGCATCCCCTGTAATGGGAAAAGAGTAATTCTTGGTAACATTTATATTGTCTTGGTGTTTCACTGTTTTTAATTGAAGCGCATGCATTTTGTTCTGAATTTAACATTTATAATACAGGCTTTCTAACACTAAACAGACAGCAATTGTTCACTTGAAAAATCAAAATAAATTTGAAACTAAACACAAAATTGATATGCTATTTTAAGAAGTGAGAGCAAAACTGTTTGGATATAAAGAGAGCAACAAAATTATGTCGGACAAATAACCTATATAAAAGATCATTTTCTTTTCCAGGTGAGTTATACAGCTGTAAAAATATATATGTATGTTATATAAAGAACAGACACACTTACCTCCATATAACATAGGATAAGATGAGCGGAAATACACCAAGCTTGGGAATTTACTAACTCCATACTTAGCAGCAGTCTGGACACTTTTTACTTTGACAACTGGCATACCTGTAGATTAAATAAATATATGCAATGAATGTCAAAAATCATGACCGAGTCCAATGTGCAAAAATAGTACTTCTTTTTAGGTGGAGAGAGTTGTGACTGTTATATGAAAAATTAAATACTACTGTCCAAAGGATAATCATTTTCTTGTCAATAAGAAGGAAAAATTATCCAAGTCAAAATATAAGTCAAAACATAGATGACCACTGATGAACTTATTAAGAATATTTTCCATTTTTATTATAAAATATTATGATAATCTTGTTATCTGTATTTTATATAGCAATCAATACTTGATTACATGCCATTCTTTTTTCGGATCAATTAAATTAAATGAAATTATAATGAATACCCAGATCTAAATGTCACACACTTACCTTCTAACACAGAATCATCAAGAGCAGTGGCTATCTTCTCTAGTTCTGACAACTGCCTTTCACATTCTGTACAGTCATCTGTATCTGATAAAATACAGAGGCTGATAATAAACAAAAGGTGATTTTTGTACCAAAAGACACATATTCAAAAACAATTAAATTTAATTTAAATCTTTGCTTACTGCATATATATATATAATTTGTTTCAGTACTTTATTATTTTTTTTTGAAAGGTTAAGTGACATTAGGCAGATTACTAGTACATAGTACATGGTCATGACTAAAATGTCATTCTTTTTATTGTCCTGAAATTAATATTCTGTCTTCCAACTACATGTACATGTAGGTGTGTTCCCATTTTCACTTGCCCTTTTAAATACTTCCTTTCAGTAATACTATTACATTCCACAGAATATACCAGCATTGTTCATCAGTACATTACCATACCTGTGCATTTTGCCGGTCTCAGTCCTTAATACACAATTTTTTTCAATACAATATCATAAAGTTTATTTCATGATCATGTCAATAATATTTTTACAAGGGCCGTTTGTACAAATGTATCAACTTAAATTGTGAAGCTATTCGAAACGACACAAGGACAGTCTTTAGTTTAAAAAACTAAACCTCAAGAGATCGAATAAAACAAGTAAACAACTATACTAGGGTAATTAAAAAAATTAGAACAAAAATGCATTTAAAAAAACGCCCTTGGTTAAACTGCAACACAAACGAACGTCAACAGTACAGCGTCAGCATCTGGTAACAAATGCAGACGACAGATTACGCGCCGGTAGGAACTACTTACAAAAATATACAACCATTCTCAAATGTTTTTGCATAGCCGATTTGAGTTCCACGCTGTTCATCTCCTCTATCGTGCTACATGTTACGAAAGAAAAACTAAGCAGTGTAAAATGTAAAAATACACAGAACAGTTTGCGTGTCCTGGAGGCTGCCATGTCGAAGTTCTCGCGAGATAATGCGTAACAGACGCGCATTAATATATAAACATCCGACAAACTAGTTTGCTAATACAAAACAGTGTCTCATGATAGACAGATTGAGTTCAACGCTGCTAGTTACTGTTTATTATAGTGTATTAGAACTATATCGAACACAATATATATTGTTGATTCCGATCCACCATTAAAAGATTCACTTTCGCCCACTTTTGATACGTCCGCGACGTTGTTCGGTCAGGTAGGAGAGCCGCAGGTGGATGGTTTGTTACTAGTGCTTTGAAGACTTCCTGCTTTGGAGTATATACTGAGCATATCAATTAACATTTTTAAATTGGCGTGGTAAGTAAATAGCACCTTATTCCTTTTCAGTGTCTCTTACAGGCATAGGTATGTGGTTCGTGTTAGATCGTGTACACATTTGTCGCATTCAACATGTTTAGGGAATGTTGTCTCAAAATTAAATTTAGTTTGATGTAGAATAGAAAAGCCTGCACAGTATGATGAGTCAGAGGACTTAGTTGTGTATGCTGCAGACCCATTAGCACGAGATTCGTGACCCTTTCTCTCTTCCTGTTTATCTAATATACTCAATTTTGCCATTTCACATTGACTAAATTCTAACCCACGCCCCCTCTTACATGTATTTTGTTCGTCTACCCCCCCCCCCCCCGACTTAGTACATTTTGAGTAAATAGTTTGTGATTTTAATGTGATGTAGTACACAGAAAATTCCAAACACTTAGTGAGTATATGAAGAAACGGACAGTTAATCTTCTGATGACAAGTTGATAAAAATCAAACATTTGCAAGATATAGGAGTGTTAGGTACTTTTTGTGATTCATGATTCCTGCTGTTATCATCAAAGGGGGCTTCGTCACAATTTTCAAATATCCCAATAGGGCAAGTAAATAATTAAGATAACTGGTGATTAGTAATTTATAAAGCTCAAAGTGAAAATCATGATGAGGTCATTTTTTACCACTGTGATAACCGTTTTTTCAAATGCTCCGTGGTGCCCCGAACTGAAGCTTTTAAACAGCCATTAAAGAATGAGGAGCTGCACTGTCTGGTGTCATAACAGAAAACTATTCATAAAATAGATGAACCATTTTTTTAAGTGAGAAAAAAGTTCTTTTCTAAAATTTAAAGGATACTTACAAATCAGTAATATATAAGCAGTATAGTCAAAGTTATCTTGTACAAACTTCATTTATTATGTTTGTTTAACATTGGTTGATTTCTGTTGACATCCATATCGCCTCAGACTTGATGTGCACAGATTTCTTTAATAGCTACAACTACAGACTTCAGTTGCCATGATGACTTAGAAATTATTATTAGACACAGTTATGTATATTATAGTGTAATTATGATATATATACACTACAGCACTGTCTTAATACAATAAGCAATAAATGAACTGTTCCACTAAATGGTTTATCCATTTCCCTTTTGTTTAAGCTAGGTTATTTGTTGGCGTATTCTCATATATCATCCAGACTACTGCAGCTGTTGTAAAGAAATAGGCACCAAAATGGCCTGATGAAGGAATTGATCCATTGAGTAGAATTTTTTGATAATATATCAACACTTGACATGTTACAATATCCCTCTTTAAGTCATATGTGTTGTTTTTTTTTACCAAGGGCAACCATACATCCTATTAATCCCTGTTTATCTACATAATAGTTATAATGATATCTGTTTTATTAAGCACTACAATAATTATGTACATTGTATTAGAACTATAGAATATAATCTCTCTAACAACCATTAGTCACTATGTCAACTAGGACATATATATACTGAATTTTACTGTTAGTTAAGAGGTGCCAGAGATAATAATTCGTACATTAGCTTGTTGATAATAATTAAGTAGGGTTAAACTTTCCTTGTTTTTGGATCTATCTAATATTATAAGCCTTTTAAATCTAAATAAACTCTGGACCAAGTTATGTCTTTTAAGGTTTTCATTGTTTTTTTTGCACTAATTTTGTCGAAACATTTGTGTGTTTGTTGTTGTTCCTCCCAAAGATTAAGTATTTTTCTGGGTCATTTTGTTCAACAGTCGTGCTCTGGGTAAGTCCTTAGTTGGTCTGAGACATCTGTGTGGTGTTATTTTTAGTAGCAGGCAGAAAAACAACATTGAGACTTTATTTCATACTTTTTATCAAGGCATAACTCTGACACGCACTTAAAAAACAGGTTTGAGGTTATATAAATCTATGGGTAGATTATAGGATAGTATTTTCTCATGCAAGACTTTCAAATACAGAGTTTTGTTTAAATATATACATCCTTATACGTGTTTTTATACGTCAAATTTAAATGAAATGTATGTTCTTGTACTATTGGTGACTGTTATTATACAGAGACACGCCCACCAAATTGGAAGTAACTGAAACCAATTTGTCAGATATGCATCTTTTCAACAAATATAAAGCTGTAGAAGAAGCTGCTAAGGCCTGCCTCAGATATTGCTTTTTATTTACATGTCTTCAGGCCACCATGTTGCTACTTAATGAATTTGCCACTAATTTGCTCATTGTTTTAATTAAGAATAGCCAGTTAGCGACAGCATCCTCTTAATTAAAACATTATTCAATGAGGCGAGAAATCTGCCAGCTCAGGTTACTGTTGGAGAGCCAGACTTTCATATCATTGTCCCCCAGATGATAATCATCTCACATTTGTACAGTTCACCTGTCATTCTAGTCTAAGTGACTCATCTTTTATTTCCCGCATTATGGTAGTTATCAGCTAAATTCAAGAAGAATTCATTAACTGTATTTCGTAAGGCAATTTTTATTGATATTATATGAACATGATGAGTTATAAAGGTAAGAGATAGGAGATGAGATCATGAAAGCATTGTATTATATTTAAGTAGGTTTTCTTGAATGATTTAATGTGATGAAACTTGAAAAAAGAATTAATTTGGAATATGAGCTGTGTTTGAAACTTGTGAATAATTACCGTATCTTGACTTGTGGTTTTATAGTAGTAAAGGAAGGAACTGGAAACTACATCTTTATGCTTAGTTAATGTCATCATCTCTCGCTGTTTTCTTGACAGAGGCCATTAAGGAAGATGGGTAAATTGATTTTGGTAGAGTATATATTGAATCCAAGTGTCCCAGCTGATTATTGGAAAAAATGAACAGCCAGCATGTACATTGGTTTTGATTTATTACCATTGTCTGGTGGCTGTCCACCCTAGTATGACCCTAGGTTTCCATACTTCTGACTGACCTGTCATACACCAGTGCAGCTTTATTAATGCCCCTGAATTGGCTTTTATGTTGTCTTGTTGGTAATTTTATGTGGAAGAACCCCGTGACAGCCAGATAATCAGTTATGATTGAGTGTGATTGTAACTGCCAGTACGAGGTGGACATAACTGACCAGTGGCTATTTCACATCGAATCTCCGATGGTCATTGTTTGTAAACTGCACCTAAATTGCACTAAGACGCTCCCATAACTCAGTAACTTATTTATTTATGTATGTCATGCCACAGCACTGTGTTTTCAGATATAAAATACAATTGATTTACAAGAGAGGTCCTATAACATTGTATAATATAAATATAGAGAAGGTACAAGGGCAGTGTCAGTGAAAAGACCCAGGTAGTATTGTCAGTGAAGTGCACTGTATGCCATGCTAGGCTTTTACACTAGAAAACAATGTAATCATTTTACATAATGCTGCAGCCACAAATGGCAACAGGTCACATGGAATAATGGGGAAAATAGGGGATCAGGGTCTACTGTAGTACTTACACACCTTTCCCCTTAACCACAGCAAGAATACAGTTTAATAAGTGTAATTTGTGTGTGTAAATATTTACCAAGCTTTTATAAATAATTACAATTGAAAAGAGTTCACTTATTATAAAAACTTTTGGTAGTCCCCATGATCATGGTCGGTTGGTTCCCCATCCATCTAATGTTGTCCAACACCTTCAAGGTGTTAAAGGTGCAAAGATTCTTATCAGATTTATAGTGTTGTTCTTAGGATTATCAAATTGTACTCAAAACACTCTTAAAACACCATATAAATTATTCATTTTATTGGGCATTGGACAATCCCCAATTACGTGCCTTGACCGACCAGCATAGATTGTGGACATTGTAACAATGTGTTCTTGTATTGGATTTCTGCTATACTACGGGGCACCATTTTGTGTATCTTATGCACTGTTCATGTGTTGTAAAAGCATGGTGTGTTTTCCAATGTAATTGTGTATTTATTTGTATTGATCGTTTAGTACAGGTGAAATTTATCTGATGTGACTTGTGTCTGGGCTGTAACCAGGGGAAAGTTATTGTCTGTGTTTGTATTGTAGCTGTGTTAAGGGCGGCGCGTGCCTTGTACCTGTAGAGTCGTGACGCTGTAGTTTGGCCGCAGTGTAAAGAAGCCGGTCTGATAAGGGACGCGTTTCCTGGCAGTCGGTGTTATGATATTAAATAAAGCGGAATATTGAATATTTACGAATGTATTGGCCGGGCAGTTAGAGCCCTTTTGTTAACCTATTGTGTGAAGTTATATGAAGTTACAGGTGTTTCCCAACAATTCAGTTCAAGAAAAACATGAGGTTTACCAATCAACACTAGCAGGACTTATTGAGTCACTGTGGTCTCATAAATAGGGAAGTATCAAAACAGCCCAAACTTAGGTGACGGGTATCAGTTGACTTAATTTAGTAGTAAGACTCTCATCTATGTTTTATTGTAACAGGGTCAATAAAACAATCTGATGTCATGCTAGTATATCTGTCTGGGTTGACTGTTACTTTTAGTCTTACGTCATTTTGGTGCTTTAAACTGATTTACGGGTACTGGCATCATTTTTCTATAAATATTCGTGTTGTCATGCATGTATAGAGAGAGTACTAGTAGGCTTAATTATACTGAATATTTAATTACTCCAGATTTTTTTGTACAGCTTCATTTGATGTTATTGAATAACACTGTCTGTGTTAGGAATTGGACAGAGGTTAGAGACCAATTATATGATAATATTTGG